GTGTGCAGGCCTACTGGGGGGGTGGGGGGGTGCTGGAACAGAGGGGACGACGCTCTCAGACGTCAGCTCCTATTGAATAGTGGCTAGAATATTCTGGAATGAGGATCTGGGAGGGGACCCAAGGTTCTGGAGCTCCAGGGTACCTCATGCTGTAAGGACTGAAGAGGAAGGTGCCAGCCCACGAGGCCCTGGCGAGCTGAGCCCCGGCCTCCTGCCTGCTTGCAGGGTCGTGGTGCTGTTTGCTCCTCCATTCTGACAGACAAGGAAACCGCCAGAACACAGGCCTCTAAACTGACCCTTCCACTAGAGCACGCCCACACGCTGGTGACTGCCTTTCTCTGCTTTTAAGAGGCAGGCAGGGCGAGACACCGTGTGCTTAATTCACTGAACCTCCGGAGTCACATTCGTCCGCCCCATCCTCAGTAGTGAGGCCCCTTTCCCTGCACGGCCAGGAGTTGGCCTCCCACGGGAACCCTGGGGACTGGAGCAGGAGGCATCAGGAGCCCAAGCGTTGGGCAGTGACCAGGACCACCCCCAAGGATGGCACACCAACCCTAGCCGCCACCCTGCGGCCTCCCCAGCTGTCCCCTCACTCCCACAGCCCAGGCCTGAACGAGGAGGGACCCACGAGCCCACGCCTCCACTAACCCGTGAGGTGCCCTCCCAGCACCTTGAGTCCTGAACCAGCTGAGCAGCGGGGTCCCGTGGGCCCTCCTCGAGGCACGGTGGTGGCCCCTCCTTCCGTCTGCCCAGCCCCGACAACCTTCCAGTCACCCGGGGTGTGCAGGAGGGAGCCCAGCCTGACCTGTCCTCTGCCAGAAGGGCCAGTGACCACCCACTGCCTGTGCCCCAAGGACCCGCCGGGCCTCTTCCTGAGTCCCTCCAGCCACCCCCTCCCCATGTCTGCCCTGGGCACCATGGGAGGGGGCTTCTCTGGGGCACAGCTGGGGTAAGTCAGCAGGGGCCATTCTAGAGGTCGGCTCCATGCTCCCTCTGGCCTCTGGGTCTAGGTGTGAGCGCCTGCCTGTTCCCTCACCCAGTGCCCGGGCCATCTCCTGGGAAAAAACAAAGGCCAGCTGATCTCAGGGGCCCCAGCCCACGGGAAGGGTCCCCTCCCAGGCCCGAGCCAGTTGTAAAGGAACTGCTAGGGAACAAACCACAGTTGCGCAGTTGGCATCTGACCCCACAAGTGCTGTAGGGCGCCCCAGAGGTCCCCTTCACCCACAAGGGGCTAAAGGGGCTGGAACAAGCCAACAGCCAGTGTTCCAGGGGGCCACCTTGCCATATGGTCTGCAGATTCCCTCAGGGCGGCTCAGAGAAAACATAGACCTAGCGATCCCTCAGCTTGACCAGCAGAGGCTGCCCCAGGGTTCCAAGGAGAGCCGGGGACAGGGCGGCGCCCACATGGGCAATGGTGGTGGTGGCACCTGTGTTGAGTATATGCCGTCTCTCAGCAGTAACTCTTACCATCCTCAGCAACATCTCACTGAACCCTGTACCCCCACCTCAGCGTGGTGGCCACTGGCCCGTGCACCCGAGTACTGTTACCAGCTCTCCAGAGGCCGGACCTTCCCCAGAGGTGAGTGGCCGCCCACAGGCTGTACCCACCCACCCCCAACACAGCACGCCTATGGAACCCAAAAGGTCAGGGAAATCAAGGCTTCTGAGATGCACTAGCTCCCCGCTACCTCCCAGAGGCCAGTGGGTTCGGAGCCCTGGTTTCCCTGGTACAGAGGTCACAGGAATCACCAAGGGGAACCTGGGGGCACCGTGCCCATGAGAATTGCCATTTATTCCCGAAGTTGCCAAAATCATCACCAAGGATTCACCGAGGGGTGTGGAAGGGGACAAGGAGGCTCAAACACTGACTGAGGGGCCAGTCAGGAGTTGGAGAAAAGGGGACTAGGTGGGGGGACCCCCAGCCGTCCCTCCCCCTTCTAACGCCATGGGAAGGACCTTCCTCTGGCCAGCACCCTGCCCATCCCCCATGTCCAGTTTCTCAGGGAGGCGGGGTGGGGGGCGTGGGAAGAGGGTGTAGTGTGAGTGGGCCCCAGGAGGGGTAAGGGTACTGGGTGGGGGCAGGGGTCCCCCACTTCACATGCACTCACAACACTGGTCGCCCAGGCAGCAGAAATGGGGGAAGCCCCCCTCCCGCCCTGGATTATAGGAGGAAGGGATTAGTGTTGGGTGCTGGGGGTCCCGGGGGCATCATGGGGGGCAGGCCAGGGCCCCCACCAAGGGGAGAGATGTAGGTCGGTGGTGCTCCAGGGACCGGGGGTACGGGGCTGAGCCGCAGCTGGTTCAGGGTGAGCGTCGCAGGGGGTGTGGGCTGGAAGGGGTTGGTGATGGAGGGGCCAGCAGCTGGGGTTCCTGCAGGGAGAGAAAGGCCGGGGAGCAGGGCCAGGTCAGGGGTTGGCCTGGGCCAGGCCGGCATCCCTGCTCCAGAGGCCACTCACCACTTGGCAGGAAGGGGTTGGAGGCCTTGGCTCCTGGCGGAGTGGGGCCCGGCCGGCTCACCAGCGAGTCCAGGTCGACCAGGGCTGCATTAGGCCCCAGGAATGACTCAGGCGTCTTCCGCGTGGGTGGTGTCGGGGTCGGGGCGGCAGGTGGGGGGCTCCCCACAGCCTCGGCCAGAGAGCCCCCAACCCCACTCATGTCGAACGCACCAGGGCTGCGGGCAGGCACCTCTCCAGCAAGCAGCTCCAGCTCCCCTGGAAGGAGCGGGAGAGAGGGCTCAGAGGGCAGACTGGGGACCCCAACACAGAAGCCGCAGTACCAAGTGGCAGGGCCCAGAGCCAAACCCGGCAGGTGTGAAGCCAAGAAAAGCCACCGGGCAGGCACACCCGCCGACACCCTCCAGATCAGGGACTGTTCGCAGAAGGACCAGCAAGGGCTGACCCAGCAGGTGACGTGGCAGCAGGCTGGGCCTGCTTACGGGCAGCTCACACCGTCCCCAAGGGTAACAGCTGCCCGAGATGGGGCCAGGGCACCAGCGACCCCAGGAGACTGGGCAACAGGCAGGCCTGATTTTTTTTCCTCAAAGATTAAAGAATCCTTCCCAGTGGTGGAGAAGAATGCAGAAATGTGATTTAAAAGAGGCCTGAAGAATGCCAAGGACAGATGGAGAGAGAGAATCCTGGGGTGAGGGAGGCCCTGCAGCCAGGCCTGCTCCCTCCTGTCACATCAGCTACCCTTGAAGAGGCAGGAAAGTAAAGAGGTCACAGGGACCATCACCCAAGGTGGGAAAACACACCACTAAGAGCCCCCAACACCACAAAGACATGGAGCAACTTCTGCAGACAAGGGGGGGCCCGCCTCTGCCCCAGGCCACCAGTGGACAGGTGAGTAGGGGGATGCAGTCCCCAGAGGGAAGGGCTCAGGGCCTGGCTGTCAGACACACATAGGGAACAGCCGGGGGGTCTGCACTGCGCGCAAAGAAACATTCCAGGCGACAGAGGGCAGCGCTTGGAGAAGCTGGGAAAGAGGAATTCTTGTGCGATTTTCACATTTCTCTAAGTCTGAAATTATTTCAGCACAAAGTTACAAGTCTTCTTAAAGACGGGTGGATGTTAAAAAAGGGATGGGTGCTGGGCCCGCGATCCCGCCTGGAGGACAGGTCTCCTGGGCCGGGCGGGCAGGGAGGCTCACCAGTGCTGCTCCCGGAGGTCGGCAGGGCCGTGCGCAGTCGGTCAAAGTCAGAGAACTCGTCGGGCTCCGTGTCAAACCCCCCAGCCCCTGTGGGAGTCAGGATGTCTGCCCAGCTCCCCAGGGCCTGCCTCCCGCACCTCCCCACTCGGACCCCTGAGAGAGGGCTCCACTCTCCCTCCCTCCCGACTTCACCCACCCAGTACCTGTGGTGCCGTTGGTACTGGGCTTGGCAGGTGACCCCCCCCAGGGGTCTGAGAAGGCTGGGGCTGGTGCCCAGGGATCAGAGGCCGGGGGTCCGCTGACGGGGACCCCACCTGGGTGAGGAGAGAGACACATGAGGGTTGGCAGCCCCACCTGCCCTGTGCTTGAGGGTTTGTCTCCTCGGAACCTGTGCTCCCAGAAGCCCCCCATGCCAGGCCAGGCACCTCCAAGGCTCCAGGCTGGCCTCTCCCACCTTGTCCCCACCCTCCAGCCATGGGTCTTCACACGGCCAGGCCTTTGCCCAAGCGACCCCTCCTAGCAAAGCCCTCCTTGGCCTTGAAGCCCCCAGCCAGGGTAAGGGGCACCGAGTGCATCACGCAAGGCCCGCTATGGCCCCTCCCCCTCCAGGGCACGCCCAGGCCTGCACCCTGGATGCAGGGGCTGCAGTGGCCAGCCAGCACTCACCATCCGAGCTCCCCCATGGGTCAGGAGCAGGCCCCTCTCCAGCGGCTGGGACCTGAGTCCCACCCCAAGGGTCAACCGGGGGCCCTGCAGGGGCCGCAGGCCTCCAGGGGTCCCCAGAGGCCGGTGTAGGGGCCGGACCACCCCAGGGATCAGCAGCCGGAGGGACAGGGGGTCCCCCCCAAGGGTCTGAGGTGGGGGCAGCCGTGGGGATGGCGGCGGCCATGGGCGCTGGGCCCCCCCAGGGGTCCGTGGCCGGTGGAGGAGCCGGGGCCGTGAAGACGTCAGCAAGATCCATGAGGGATGACTGCAGGTGAAAAGAGAATGAGGAGTGAGCGGGGCAGACCCAACCCTGAGAGCAGGAGGGGCAGTGGGGCCGGGTCACGGGGAGGCAGACCCACTGTCAGGGGACTGAGTATCCGGAAAGAGAGCAGGAGGAGGCAGACGCCTGGCCACCTGATCCTCTGGTACCCTCCACTCCGTCCCCCTCCCACCCTGCCCCAGGGCCTCTGACCAGCCCCTGAAGGACTGAGGACAAAGGCCAAAGGCCAAAGCCACGCCTCCTGTCCCCACACCTGCCCTCCCCCTGCCCTCCAGAAGCCCTTGTGGAACTGGTGGGCTGGGCCTCCCACGCCACGCTCAACAAGCTTCACTGTGCTCCAGGCCGCCCAACACGCGAGCACACACACAACCCCCACTCTCTCTGTGTCCTGGGTGCGGGGGCCGCTCTCTCCAGGTGTTCCCCACCCGCACCACCCTCCCCCAGAGGAAGGGAACAGGGCCGGGACCCTTCAGGGCTGCATCAGGCGCTGGTAAGACCTCTGGCCAAGGCTGGCCCAGACAGGCTATGTACCAAGCCAGCCCCACTGTGGCCAATCCGCCAGCCCCGAGCTACCTGCAGCCCCCGTCAGGAGGCCATGGGAGTGACCCCCAGCCCTGGGCCAAGGCAAACGACGGTGCCAAGAAGGGCAGGCGTGACGCTCACCTCCTCCTGGCCAGCCGTCTCCCTCTTGCTCTCCTCTATGGCCATCTGCAGCCTCAGGTCGTCCCCACGCCGGATTCGCTCCTCCTGGATGGGTCCCAGAAGCAGCGGACAGGAGTCAGAATCTGAGTGATGGGGCGGCGCCCAAGAACCCCTCCCACCCAGACAAAGGTGACTGAAAATTAAAATGGGATGCGGACGATGTGTGGGATGGGGAGGGTGGGTCACAGGGCGGGCGGTGGGGGACAGAGACGTGAGGATCATGTGGCCCTGCGCGGCTCTAACAGGCTTGGGATGCACCAGGTGCAGGTGGGGAAGCCCTGGGCTGCGATGGAGAGAGAGGAAGGGCCCCTGGCTGCCTGGAGCAGCTACAAGGCATCTGCTTCAAGTCTGGGGCGTCTGTCTGGGCACCCGCCTGTCACAGGGACCCAGCAAAAATGGTACCATGTGAAGTCCAGGGGGCCCTTCGGGAAGGTGAGAGGAGACGGGGACCTGGGAGGGCCTTAGGGAAGCTGTGGGGTGAGAGGCTGCTCTGACCTTATCGTGCTCCTCGCGGCTCAAACTAAGGGCCAGCTGGAGCTGGACGTCATCCTCGGGGCCGCAGGACGGGGGCTGGGGGAGAGACAGCATGAGGGGCGGGGCGCGGGCGAGAGGCAGGCCCAGACGGGGAGGAGAGAGAGAGACACACACACACAAGGACAGAGACCAAGCCAGCGAGACACAGTCCCCAAACTGGTCAACGACAGGCAGAGACAAGCCTGGGGTGTGCAGCAGGAGCTGGATAAGCAGGGCCAGGCCGGACAAGCACCCAGAGAAGGGGGCCAGAGGGCAAGCAGAGGGCAGGGGAGAGAGGAGGAGTCGGAGAGATGGAGGCCGGAGGAGGAGGGGCGTGGAGACGGATGGCAGAACAAAAGTCAACCCCTCCACCCCGACCCGGCCGGCCCAGCCCTACCTGGTCGGCCTCCTCCTTGCTCATGGCCAGAGCCAGCTGGAGCTGCAGCTCCTCCTCCCCGCTGCTCTGCGGCCAGGCCTGCTCTGCCTCGGGCGGGGGCCCCGAGCCCACGGCGGCTGAGGAGGCTGCGAGGACACACACGCTGAAGCAGGAGGAGGCAAGGGAAATCCCAGGGCCCAGGCAGCTGGCTTCCGCAGCCCGGCTGGCAGAGCCCAGGATGCCCCAACTCTCCCGGGGCCGGGCCCTCCCTCTCCCAAGACCCCTGGTGGGACCAGACCCCAGGTCCCCTGGGCGGGAGGGTGGTGTGGTGTGCGGAGCACCTCTGAAGGGGGTTTCTCAAGCCCTAGGGAGGGGGAAGGCAGCCCCACCCAAGGAAGGATGGGGACCGGGAAGGATGGTCCCGCTGGCCCAGGAGCAAAAGGAGGGCCCTGAGGCACCTCTGAGCCTGTGACCTGAGCTCCTGCCCTATGGAGCCAGGGATTCCCTGAGTGTCTCGGGCCCTCCCAGCAGCCCCAGGTGGGGGGCCTGGGGCCTCAGTCTCCGGGGCTGGTCAGAACTGCAGCTCTGGCAGGGACCAGGGCTGGACATTAGGGGGAGAAGCTGCGAGCCTGGCCCCCACCCTGTACCCTGCATGGCTGGGACAAGGCCAGGGTGGATGAGGAAAGGATGGAGAGAGAACAGACGAGCATGGAGCACCAGCCCTCCCCAAAGGGGGCAGACTCCTTCCGGACACTCTCCACCTCACTTCTCTCCATCCTGACCCTCACGTCCCGCTGCTCGTAAACCTGCCAGGCCGCCTCCACTCCTGCCTTCCCTGCCTGTCTGTGAGCTGCCAGGCACCTCTTGGCAATAAATTCAACCTTTGCCCTTCTTGCCTCAAACCTGCTGATGGCTTCAGGCCGCACTCACGCCACCTCTGGAATGGTTCTACTGTGACACACACCTAGTCCAAGGACAGAACACCTCTCTCTCCGCGCACCGCTCAGGACCTGCACACCCGTCTACAAAACTTAAAGTTCCTAAGACTTCCTAAGATGAGCTGGACCTCATCATGTGGACACATTCTGACTTTCTATTTCCTCTACTTTAACTTGTCTTCAATTCCTGTATGCCACCCACCAAAGGCAGCTCACACTACGAGGGCCTTTCTACAACTCCGGGACCCTCCAGCCCCTGCCTCAACGGAGCACACTCCCCCACGTCAGGCTGTAGTGTGAGGCACTGCGGGGGCGCCTGCCGGGGGCGCAGGGCAGGCAGAGCTCGGGGGAAGCGGAACAACACTGCTCAGTTCCAGGGCCCAGAGGGGGAGGAGAGGGCGCGCGGAGGCCTCACCCGTGGCGGTCTGCGCCAGCTTCTCCTTGGTCTTGAGCGCGTGGGCGCGCTCCTCCCGCAGTCGGTCCTCGTCGCGCAACAGGGCCACCAGCTGCTTGGCCTTCTCGCGCACGTTCACACCTTGGTCCTTGCCGTCGCGGTCCACGTACTGGAAGTCCTTCAGCGTCTGCACGGCGTACATGTTCTCCTTGCACTGCTGCGACACGCGCTCCGAGCCGGTCTTGATGAGGTACTCCATCAGCGTCATGGCCTGCGGATGGACACAGCGTCACTGCGGCCCTGGCCCCCAGTCAGGGGCTCCACCGCCAAGGAAGGAATGAAGCCCTGGCACAGTGCCACCTAGATAAACCCTGAAAGTGGCAGGAGCCGGGCCCCAAAGAGCAGAGTGCACAAGTCCATTCATGGGCAACGCCCAGACAGCAAATCGGAGCACAGAGAGCCGGGGTGATGCACAAAGCAACCAGAGTCCCTGGGCTGAGGAAGACTGCCTGGAACTAGATGGTGGTGATGGCTGCACAACACTGGGGATATGCTCACTGCCCGAGCTGTGCACTTTAAGAGGGTGAACCGCACGGCGGGACCTACGTGTCTCTTGTCAGACCCCAGGGAAGCCAGGGAGGCAGCCGCATCACCGCAGCCACCCGTGGTCACTGCGGGGCGCCCACCCTGCTCTGATCCCTGAAGATCAGGACCTAAACAGCACGGCCAAAAAGCTCACTGGTTACAGCACAGTCAGGAGTACCCAGCCACATCCAACTGCCTCCCTCGTGTTCTGGACGTTTGAAATGTGTTATCTTATCACTAATTATCAGAGAAATGCAAATCAAAACTACAAGGAGGTATCACCTCCCACCAGTCAGAATGGCCACCATTAAAAAGTCCACAAACAACAAATGCTGGAGAGGCTGTGGGGAAAGGGAGCCCTCCTGCACCGCTGATGAGGATACAGCTTGGTGCGGCCACTGTGGGGGACAGTACAGGGGTCCCTCAGAAGACTAAAAACAGACTTACCGTATGATCCAGCAGTCCCACTCCTGGGCGTATATTCAGAGAAAACTAATTTGAAAAGACACCTGCACCCCAATGTTCACAGCAGCACTATGTACAGTAGCCACGACAGGGAAGCGACCTGAGTGTCCATCGACAGATGGCTGGATCAAGAAGTAGTGGAATATTTACACAATGGAATACTACTCAGCCACAAAAAAAGAATAAAATAATGCCATTTACAGCAACATGGATGGACCTGGAGATTGTCATTCTAAGTGAAGTAAGCCAGAAAGAAAAATACTATATGATATCATTCATATGTGAAAGCTAGAAAAAGAAAAAAGGACACTAATGAACTCACCTACAAAACAAACAGACTCACACAAAAAAACAATCATGCTTACCAGAGAAAGGGGGTGGGAGGGGATAAATTTGGGGGTTTGATATTTACCAATGTTAGCCACTATATGTAAATAGACTTTTTTTTAAGTTTCTTCTCTATAGCACGGGGAACTATGTTCAATATCTTGTAATAACCCTTAATGGAAAAATTATGAAAGCAAATATATGTATGCATCTGCATGACTGGGACACTGTGCTGTACACCAGAACTTGACACATTGTAAATGACTGTACTTCAATCTAAAAAAAAAAATGAGTTTCATGTGGTAGCTCTCAGTGAAAAAGAATGCGACAATGAACATATGTATGTTCATATACAACTGAAAAATTGTGCTCTACACTGGAAATTGACACACTGTAAACTGACTATACCTCAATAAAAAAAATGTTAAAAACTTAAAAATTTTTTAAAAATTAAAAAAGAAATAAAAAACTAAAATGAAGTGTGTCATCTTAAGCGTAAAACCTCACACCAACACAGGACAACCTGAAGGTGGCGATGTCAGGAGGGAGGCGCCAGGCCCGTGGGGCCGGGGGCTCTGGGGAGGGACACACAGCACATCGTCTGCATTTTACGACATGTGAATAAATATCCTTTCCAACAAATTAAAATTAAATGGGAAACACCTGCTCCAACCCAGGCAGGGTCTTTGTGGTCTCAGAGCTCAGATTCCAGGCGGTCTGGAGTCAGGGGTCACGGCTCTGCAGGAGGCCATGGCCACCACCCTCGGGAAAAGGGCATACCTTATTTTGCAGAATCTCCCAGAGCCACCAGGGCTCCCAAGTCTACAGTGGAACAAAACAGTGGGCAGCCCTGGTAAGCTCGGGAACCGCAGCGGAATTCACCAGGGAACCCCACTGGGGGCCATCAGAATCTCCCGTGGACGCGGCCTCCGAGGTGTGTTAGCAGTAGTCAGCTCGCTCACTGGAGATAGTCTTTAACTGACCCAGAGGTGTTTACGCCTTAGAGAAGAAAGTTAAGAAGCAAAATCACACCTGCGTGCAGAAGGCAGACTTCACCAACTCCTGGGCCAGCTGTTTTGGAATTCAGAACACTCCCGAGTTCAGACCAGAGAGACAGCACACGCCACGTGCAACAGAAGTCCCCAGAGGAAGGCAATACCAACAGTGTCGCTGCACGGGACCAACAAACACCAGATAAACCAACTCCCCACTGTCCAGATAGGACCCTGTTGCCAAAGGAGTTTTAAAAACTTTCAGAATTCAGGGGACTTTGGAATTGCAGCTGAAAACATTGTGAACATAGGAAGAACCCAAACACTCAGCAAGGGCGAGATGCCCGCGAAAGAGCCGTGGTGGTCGGATGCCGGGACCACCACCCATGGCAGCGTAAGTAAGTGGGCGCCTGCTACGCCTGCCAACCTCCCGGACACAAAGGAAGCAGGCGCCGAGGACCACGCGCTATACAAGAGCACTGGTCACAAAGTTCTAGAACAATCTCAGCAGCCAGCCAGCAGGGCATGGCGCCCGCAGGGCAAATGTCCCCCGTCTCCATCTGGGAGGCAGGCACACGTGACCTGTCCCTCAACAGAAAATGTAACAGTTTTTAAACCTGTCCCTGCTCGTTTTCAAAACAGCCTGGTCCAGGACGTCGCAGGACGTCAGAATGCAACTGATAGTTTCCAACAGGGATCAGCAAACTCCCCTGTAAAAGGCCAAGTGATAATATCCCAGCTCCTCGGGCCTGCGGTCCCGGTCCTGACAACTCGGCCCTCACCGTGGCTGCAGGAGGTGAAGCTTTATTTACAGAGACGGCTGGGCAGGAGGCCAGATCTGGCCAAAGGCTTGGGTCCGCTGACCCTTTTTAGAAAGTAAAGACTGAGACCCTGTGTGCCTCAGAGAAGTTGAGTGACACAGCCCAGGGTTGGCTCGGGGGCTCGGCTCTCAGCCCAGCACATCCTGGCGGCCTGAGCCTTTGTGACTCAGTTTCCTCACCTGAAGGAGCACCTCCACAGCTCTCCGCCTACAGCAGCGCTTCCCCAGAACCTGCCCTCCCCTCACACCCCCGTCCCCAGCCCCACAAAGCTTCCATCCCAAGTCCAAGCCATCCAGGCCCCTCCATCCCCGCCACAACAAGGCTCCCCAGCTCCCTGCCCTTTCCCTTCACAGCGAGATGTGATGGGATGACTGACTCAACAATGACTCCATCAGATCAAAGCCCCAAGCCTGGTCTGGAGGGAGGGGCATGAAAGAGCCAGAGCGAACGGGCCTCAAATCTCCACCAGGACCAGACAACCCAAAGCAGTGGGACCTCTCCTGGTCTTGGAATCGAGAGAACCACCCTGTCTCCAAGGGACAGAGTGCCCAGTCAGCACAGACTCCAGTCCAGTCCACAAGCCCCGGGTCCACCCGCCTTGCCCAGCACCACACACAGAGCAGGCCCTCAACCACCATTTACTGAAGAAACAGCACCCAAAGGACTCGCCAACACCCACGGGCCTGACTCGCCAGCCTTGGCCCCAGATGCCCATCTGACTCTCACACAGAGGGAGGCCCCAGGACTAGCCCAAGGCCACACCGCTGGGAGTGTGGCCAGGTCCTCTGCCTCAGGCCATGCCCTCTGCCACTTCTTGACCCAAGATGGGGACATCCAGCCCCAAGTCCCCAGCACAACAGTCACACAAGAAAACCACCCACTGAGCGCCGCCTGAAACCAAGTTCCCATTGCCCAGAACCTGTGGCATGTCCGTCTGCTCACTGGCTTAGGGCAGGTCCGGGTATCACTAGGGCCACTTTAACCACACTGATCAGAATGGCACACACTAACCCAGAAACTCCAGTTCTAGAAAATGGCAAATATACACAGATATTCACAGCAGTCTTGTTTGTAAAAGCAAAATACTGCAGACCACTCAGAAATCCATCACCAGGTAGCTGGTGACATCGACTGTGATCAACCCATTTGAAACAGTTACACAACTGTTTTAAAAATAGGGGGGAGGGGGTATAGCTCAAGTGTTGGAGCGCATGCTTAGCATGCACAAGGCCCTGGGTTCAATCCCCAGTGCCTCCGTTAAAATAAATAAACCTAACTGCCACCCCACACAAAATTTTTTAAAATAAATAAATAAAAACAAAGCGACATCTTTTTCGTTCTAGTGGGAACGCTCTCTGAGACAGTCTTGCTTTGCTTTTAAAACTGCAGTGTAACTTACAAGCAGTCAGATTTACTCTTTTTTACACGCAGTTTTGAGTTCTGGTAACTGCGTACAGCCACGTAACCACTGTGGCTCCCCGGAACGCCCTGGTGCTCACCACCGTCCTGGAACTACGTGCACAGATCCCCGCAGAGGAGGACAGAGCTGGGACCCAGCTGCCTCCGAGAGGGACCTGGGCTCTGGGCGCAGAGGGGTGGACACTGGGCACCCACTGTGGCCCTCTACATAGATCAGCCCTGCGAACATGCCACTTCTTCAAAAGCCACAAAACTCAAAATTCTTAAAACATTACATTTGTGGCCCTCACAGAGCAAGAGAGAGATTTTTCACACAGAGGTGCACAGCTCCAGCTCCTCTGGGAAGCGGGAAAGGGGGATGCACTGGTGCACGCCCATCCACCCAAGCCTGGCGCCGCCCAGGCCCAGCCCAGCACTGACCTTGTACACGTGTCGCCAGTTCTTGCCGTGGTCGTTGAGCCGCTTCCAGATCATGCTCATGATCTCCGAGAAGGCCACCACGTTGTAGGTGAGGTCGGCGATCTCAGACATGAGGGAGCTGGACGGGCCCCAGGGGTCGTTGCTTGTGGCTTCACGGACCTTGATCTCGGCCTCCGAGTAGTTGTGGACGATGTTCTTCATCTGGCGCCGCAGCGAGGAGGTCGACATGGCTCCAGGCAGTGGTGGGGGGGCAGGCCCCCCGGGGCGTGCAGAAACCGGGCGACAGGAGGAGGCAGGCCGCGGCAGGGGCTGGCAGGTCACCGCATCTGAGGAGGGAAGGGGACATTTAGAAACACAAACAGGACCTGCAGCCACCCAGCCCGAACCCAGCCCTCGTGGCGCTCCCTGCCACCTGCAGGTCCAGGCCGAGGTCCCAACCCTGGCCCTTGCCAACCTCCACCTTCATCACCCCATCCATTTTCAGTTCCTCAAATGTGCCCAGCTCCTTCCTGCTCGGGGCCCCCGCTCAGCGAGGCACGCAGTGGCGGGTCACAGGCCCACGGAGGGTACACCCCAGCTCAACAGTTTCCAGCCCGGCAACTCCCGCACCACAGCTTTCTCCTCTGAGATGGGGTTTCGATCCGTAATCCAGACAACTGCGTGGTCGGTCAGCCTGCCCTTCCTCACCCTCTCACCAGGGCACTCCCACTCACCCATAGGGCTCTGCATAAACCTCCCAGACCTGAAACACCCCAAAACCGCCGTCGCAGCTCCCCACCCAGGGGTGGACTTGTCAGTAGATTCAGTCACCCCCATGATTTTCCACTCGTTTGTCTCATCCTGCGGCTGAGGCTGACCCAAGAGCCCCATGGGGGCAGAGACCACGTCTGCCTGGACGTGGCTTTTCCCATCAGAGCAGTTGGCCCGGAAGAGCCATTCAATAAACCAGTGCAGGAAGGAAGGGAAGGACGGAGGGCAGGAAAGACCTCAGGAGCAGGGGTGAGGGGGCCAAATCCACTGCAGAACAAGGACACACAGGGAGGCCAGTGAAGGGAGCAGAGATGGGCAGGAGGTGGAAGCCAGGGGGACAGGGTGTCCCAAGGGTGGGGGAGGCTCAGGGGAGGAGAGATAAAGAACAGTACAGCCCACTGGCTGGGCCCTAGCCAGGAGCTCAAGGAGCAAGAGATGTCCATTATCTCATTTAACACTGCGGGCGGGGCTCTAATAGATGAGGAGACAGGGGCTGGTGGAGGTTAAATAACCCAGCCAAGGTCACAAACTAGGCAAGGCGGCGCAAACTCAACCCCAGGCCAGCCTGGGCTCCAAGTTCACCTCTGCCGAGAGGAGGGTAATGGGAAAGAAACAGAAGAAGGGTTGGCAAATGAAGCCGGCCACAGGAAGTACTCACACAGCCCGTTCCCTGGGCCAGGTGTGCTTCTGGGTGCCTTACACACGGTAACAGTTCATCTCCACAGCTCCACGATTCAGACCCCTCACAGGGGAGGAAACTGAAGCAAAGAGTGGTTGACTCCCTCGCTCTGGGACACAGGCCTCAACCCCCGAGCAGCCTGGTTCCAGAGCCGGCTCTGACCACCACAGACCACTGCCTCTCCCCGGCGGACAGAGATCTGCTGAGACCTCCCATGTCCTGAACCCCAGGGGTGGCGGCAGGCCCCTGCCTTGAACTCAGGAGAGCCGGGCACTTGGAGACAGATGTGAACAGTTGGAAAGAGATGGCCAGGGTGCCCAGCCGGACACACTAACCCAAAGAGCTGAGGTAACAAATACAGAGAAGACTGAGAGGAAAAGGAAAGAGGAGGAAAAAAGAGGCACAGAGAAGCCTGGGCAGACAAAAGACACAAGACACAGAGAAAGAAACGGGGGAAGACAAGGAGGCAGATGGAGAGACAAAACGGAGGCCTTGAAACAAACAGCAGCAGTAACCTAGGAATGAGAAGTAAGAAAAATGGATTATCCTGGAAGGAACACAAGATTTAGGTCCAAGTTCTGGCCTCCTTGACAGTCAGTCTGCTCAACTCTGAAATGAAGGGAAACACTCCTACCTGGCAGGCTTGCTGATTAAACACAGTGGGCACACAGCGTGCCTGGCACGGTGCCCCACAGACAGTATACGCTCAACACCACTGGCTGCTGTTACCATCAGAGAAAAAACAGGACATTTCCAAAAGGGTGGCATCAAAAGACGCGCTACCTTAACACCGTGTTTTTATATTAAAGTGCATTAGAAAAAAAACATTCAACTACCACAACAAAGCTGACTTCACAGATAACTGCTTAGAACAAGACTAAGTTTTTAAGTTGCTGACTCAAAAAGATTAAATAAAAGACAAATAACATGGCAAAATTCTCCAAGGGGTACTCAGATGACTGACATCAAATGTTTACTGTGTAGGACAAAAAAAAAATCTAAGTAATTACGGAAACCAGAGCTCCCCGCAGTTAACACAGTTACTACGGGCCAGTTAGCCACAAGGACCACCTGTGTTAACAGGCACAGCGGCCCTATTATGTAGGAACTGTTGCCTACTCTGCTTTTAAAAACTAGGAAATTAAGCTTTGAAGATAAGTCATCTGAAAAATACTGTATGTTAGCAAAAAGTGGGCCGCTGATTCCACAGCCGGGTCCTTCAATACACAAACTCAAGAACCTGGGGGAAGGGGCAGATCCTAGACCAAGCAACAGACCCGCTGAGGGCCTCGGGGCTGGAAAAGATGGGTACCAGGACAAAAATGAGACAGGAAGACGAGGAGAGGGAGAGGTGGCTGGGGACATCTGGAGAACTGAGACACGAACATTAATCCTGACCACCAGACACCGAGACGTGACAGAAAGGCAGAACTAGACCCAGGACGGACACACGCGGACAGGAGCTTTGTAAAAACACCCAAAAGGACAGGGACACGAGCACCACCGAGGCCCAGGCGGAGGCCCGCGGGAGACAGAGTCGCTGACACAGTCAGACAGACACGGGAAGCCGCGAGCAGTCCAGGCTGCCCGGGCACAGACACAAAGGCCACGGAGACCAGCAGCGCCGACAAGTCACAGACGTCCGAGCTCACCTGCCCGC